AATGCCACCCCTATGATAGGATTACAGAATAAAAATCATTCCACCACCTCCAGTAACTTCCGGTTTTACTGAAACTCCATTGGAAGTTGGAATCTTGGCGAAGTCAGTTTTCCAGGCCAATTGTGAAACACCTAGAGGTTAATCTAGTCAATGGGATAGAAGATAATATTAATTACTTTATGTGACAGATAAATTCGATTTTTATATTTTTATATTCGAACTTTGTACTTTAATTACCTTTTTAGTAAATATATTTCATATATAAATTTAGCAAACATATATACTTAAACAAAATTTAATTTGATTAATTCCAAGACAGATTGAAAGCATGAGTAACAACATAACATGTTTCAGAGGAGAGAAATTTCTTCCGAGTGTCCATGATGCCGATGTGTCCTTGCAAAGCCTCAGGTTTCATGAGAAGTCGTGAAGATTAAAAACACCATACACGGGCAAATAATATGCAATTCACGACTAATTAACATAGAGGACTGGGACCAGCCCAGCCATTTTTCCATCCCTCCCAGTGCGTTTCTTCTTCACGTGTAAAAAGAGTGAAAATGCCTTATATTAGCAACTGACGTGAATAATCAGTTGCTAATGTAAGGCTTTGGGGTTTGGGTGTTACAGCTTTGGGCAGCTCAGACGAGGATAGGAAAAACGAAAGCCACCTAAGTTTTTTCCCTAAATTCGAACGCATTTTAAACAAGGTTCCTTGAACCTCTTTCCTTTGAACTTTAGTTGACGAGTCTTTTGTTTTTGTTTAATTGTAAAACTTTATTCAAATTTTTTCTTATTTGCGAGCAAATCAATAAAAAGAAATACATTTTTAGTAACTAGATGTTTAACCTCGACTTTATAACCTTACAATTTATTTGATGTTGTTTGATTAAACAATAAATGAAGTTAATGTATACTGCCCCAATAGTCTTTGGTTCTTTCCCTTACAAAACCAAAACCAGTGGGAACGTATTTTAAACAAGGTTCTTTGAGCCTCTTTCCTTTGAACTTTAGTTGACGAGTCTTTTGTTTTTGTTTAATTGTAAAACTTTATTCAAATTTTTTCTTATTTGCGAGCAAATCAATAAAAAGAAATACATTTTTAGTAACTAGATGTTTAACCTCGACTTTATAACCTTACAATTTATTTGATGTTGTTTGATTAAACAATAAATGAAGTTAATGTATAAGCGTCAAGAGTATAAACTAAATGGTTAGACTTTTTCTTCTTTATTACGTGTTAAATAGAGAACAAAGGCCTTGTTTGGTGATATTGGATTTTCTAAATAATCATGCACCCTTGCTATAGCATATGGGATTGTACCACCATAACCCAGCTAGAGCATATTGAATTTTACCAGAAGATATGGGAAAATTGAGATCCCATACCAACACTAGCGAAAACATTCTGTTATACTATTGCCCCCGAACCTTTTACCCTGCCCCAATAGTCTTTGGTTCTTTCCCTTACAAAACCAAAATCAGTGGGGAAGATTTTTGAGAGCTTGGAAAAGCACTCCGTCGGTTGTGGTTAGGGTTCGGGTGTTATAGCTTTGGGCAGCTCAGACGAGGAGAGGAAAAAGGAAAGCCACTTAGGTTTTTTCCCTAAATTCGAACGTATTTTAAACAAGGTTCTTTGAGCCTCTTTCCTTTGAACTTTAGTTGACGAGTCTTTTGTTTTTGTTTAATTGTAAAACTTTATTCAAATTTTTTCTTATTTGCGAGCAAATCAATAAAAAGAAATACATTTTTAGTAACTAGATGTTTAACCTCGACTTTATAACCTTACAATTTATTTGATGTTGTTTGATTAAACAATAAATGAAGTTAATGTATAAGCGTCAAGAGTATAAACTAAATGGTTAGACTTTTTCTTCTTTATTACGTGTTAAATAGAGAACAAAGGCCTTGTTTGGGGATATTGGATTTTCTAAATAATCATGCACCCTTGCTATAGCATATGGGATTTTACCACCACAACCCAGCTAGAGCATATTGAATTTTACCAGAAGATATGGGAAAATTGAGCTCCCATACCAACACTAGCGAAAACATTCTGTTATACTATTGCCCCCGAACCCTTTACCCTGCCCCAATAGTCTTTGGTTTCAAATTTTTTCTTATTTGCGAGCAAATCAATAAAAAGAAATACATTTTTAGTAACTAGATGTTTAACCTCGACTTTATAACCTTACAATTTATTTGATGTTGTTTGATTAAACAATAAATGAAGTTAATGTATACTGCCCCAATAGTCTTTGGTTTCAAATTTTTTCTTATTTGCGAGCAAATCAATAAAAAGAAATACATTTTTAGTAACTAGATGTTTAACCTCGACTTTATAACCTTACAATTTATTTGATGTTGTTTGATTAAACAATAAATGAAGTTAATGTATACTGCCCCAATAGTCTTTGGTTCTTTCCCTTACAAAACCAAAACCAGTGGGGAAGATTTTTGAGAGCTTGGAAAAGCACTCCGTCGGTTGTGGTTAGGGTTCGGGTGTTATAGCTTTGGGCAGCTCAGACGAGGAGAGGAAAAAGGAAAGCCACTTAGGTTTTTTCCCTAAATTCGAACGCATTTTAAACAAGGTTCCTTGAACCTCTTTCCTTTGAACTTTAGTTGACGAGCTCTTTCCTTTGAACTTTAGTTGACGAGTCTTTTGTTTTTGTTTATTTGTGAAACTTTATTCAAATTTTTTCTTATTTGCGAGCAAATCAATAAAAAGAAATACATTTTTAGTAACTAGATGTTTAACCTCGACTTTATAACCTTACAATTTATTTGATGTTGTTTGATTAAACAATAAATGAAGTTAATGTATAAGCGTCAAGAGTATAAACTAAATGGTTAGACTTTTTCTTCTTTATTACGTGTTAAATAGAGAACAAAGGCCTTGTTTGGGGATATTGGATTTTCTAAATAATCATGCACCCTTGCTAGAGCATATGGGATTTTACCACCATAACCCAGCTAGAGCATATTGAATTTTACCAGAAGATATGGGAAAATTGAGCTCCCATACCAACACTAGCGAAAACATTCTGTTATACTATTGCCCCCGAACCTTTTACCCTGCCCCAATAGTCTTTGGTTCTTTCCCTTACAAAACCAAAACCAGTGGGGAAGATTTTTGAGAGCTTGGAAAAGCACTCCGTCGGTTGTGGTTAGGGTTCGGGTGTTATAGCTTTGGGCAGCTCAGACGAGGAGGGGAAAAAGGAAAGCCACTTAGGTTTTTTCCCTAAATTCGAACGTATTTTAAACAAGGTTCTTTGAGCCTCTTTCCTTTGAACTTTAGTTGACGAGTCTTTTGTTTTTGTTTATTTGTGAAACTTTATTCAAATTTTTTCTTATTTGCGAGCAAATCAATAAAAAGAAATATATTTTTAGTAACTACATGTTTAACCTCAACTTTATAACCTTACAATTTATTTGATGTTGTTTGATTAAACAATAAATGAAGTTAATGTATAAGCGTCAAGAGTATAAACTAAATGGTTAGTATTTTTCTTCTTGATTACGTGTTAAATAGAGAACAAAGGCCTTGTTTGGTGATATTGGATTTTCTAAATAATCATGCACCCTTGCTAGAGCATATGGGATTTTACCACCATAACCCAGCTAGAGCATATTGAATTTTACCACAAGATATGGGAAACTTGAGCTCCCATACCAACACTAGCGAAAACATTCTGCTATACTATTGCCCCCGAACCCTTTACCCTGCCCCAATAGTCTTTGGTTCTTTCCCTTACAAAACCAAAACCAGTGGGGAAGATTTTTGAGAGCTTGGAAAAGCACTCCATCGGTTGTGGTTAGGGTTCGGGTGTTATAGCTTTGGGCAGCTCAGACGAGGAGGGGAAAAAGGAAAGCCACTTAGGTTTTTTCCCTAAATTCGAACGTATTTTAAACAAGGTTCTTTGAGCCTCTTTCCTTTGAACTTTAGTTGACGAGTCTTTTGTTTTTGTTTATTTGTGAAACTTTCTTCAAA